GAAGAGCTGGAGGAGACTAAAGCTTCCCCCCCTCCCGTTCATGCAGGAACGTTGCTGGCTGTTCTGCATTCATCGGGGAGCGAGTGGAAAGTGCACAGTTTGCGTCATTCTGCCTGGGAAGCACAGGGGGGGCAGATGAAACTGGACCTTCGCCAGCCAGGGGACATGCACCTTAGCGTGCCTGCTGAGAGGCGCGTCTCCCCTGGCCCCAAGCTACCGAGGTGAGAGAGGGCTGGGGTTGTCCCTGCTTCCCAGGGCAGCCTGCATCCTGAACCCCTCCTCCCCTGCCCTACCCCAGAGCAATGATTTCAATGAAGCATGAACATTTTTGTGAGGGATGTAAAACTTCATTTCATTGGTTAAACCGGTTAACTGATTAAAAAGCCACTGGTCTAGAGCAGCGCCCTCCTCACCTCAGGCAGGGGCTGCTCTGGCCATGTTAGAACAGCCCCTGCCTGTGGGACACCTGGGCCCACCGCAGACAAGGGCTGTCCTGGGCAGTCGGGGCAGCTCCAGCCAGCAGGTGCCCGAGCCCACCACAGACAGGAGCTACTCCACACAAGCAGGGCAGCCCCTCTCCACAGAGCTGCCACCCATGGCAGCCGGGGAGCTGGATAAGTTTACCGGAACTGGCAAACATCACCTGTTAAGGGTGACGCTTACAGGTTAAGCTTTCACATCCCTCATTTTCATTTTCTAAAATACAAAAACTGAGTGAGTGAAGGCCAATGCCAAGCACATCTTCTAGTGGGACATAAATAGGTACCTTGGTGCATCCCTGAATCCAGGACTGAGAGACTAAACTTACGGAGCTCTGATTCCGGGATCTGTTTCTACACCTCAGTTAGAGATAATGAGGAGAAGGGTTTTCACACAATAGAGGCCAGGCCTGGGAGGCAATGCGAATAAGCAGCACCCGAGGATTAAAGCACCAACCCGAAGGACACCATTCAGCGGCGAACGGAACGTGTGCTGTACCTAAGCAAACCCCGGCATCCTGATAGAATCCAGAGTCACAGCGCCCGACACAGCGGCCATTTTGGAGCAGCAGGGTTGCATCGCGGCACACGTCACAGTGGTCGAAGGACCGAGAGCAGGCCGAGCAGTCTGAGTGGCATCGCACTGGCATGAAGAATAAAAAAGAAAGAAGCTGCCAGAAGGCTGGGAACAACACATGGACCGCAGACAAAGCAAAACTCAATACGCAGCCCCGCTGCTAACGACTCAAAGCATTTTCTCATACACGGCACGCGAGCAGTTAAATGCTGTTTTATTGGGCTGGATAAGCCCGGCCTTTAATTGAAGTTACCCAGCCTGCTGTTAAACAGGCCATAAACAACCCATGTTGTCTCTTTTCACTGATATTCTTACACCAGGGGGAATTAATGGCCCACAACAATTGGAATTTGAGTTACCTCAGGCCAGATCCCGTGAAAGTCAATGGGAGTTGGGCCAGCAAATTGGAATAGGGGTTGCAGGCTTAGGTCACGCCTACACCACCGCTTAAGTTGATCTCACTTGCATTGCTCAGGGGTGTGAAAAAAAACCCAGCCCTGGCAAGATGCAAGTTTTGCGCTCTACCGCTGACACGGCTTTCACTTCCCACCAAGTAATTTTGCCGGTGGGAGAGCACTCTGCCATCGGCATAGCCCCTCTTTGCCAGATCTTTTGCAGCTGCGCTGATGTAGCACCCCAGTGCTGGCTTGCCCTTAGTGACACAGAGAAACAGCTGAAGGGACAGTGTTATGACAAAATATTTCCCTACGGCAGGTGTTTCTCAAGCTGGAAGGCTGAAGAAGTCGAGGAACCAAAATATTTTTTCTTTAGCGCAGACTCATTTTTGCCCAGCAGGAGAACTAGGACCCAACTTTCAACCAGGTCTTGATCCTGGAGCCATTACTCAGTCTTGAAACCTTAGTGATTTCAATGAAGGGCATGCCTGAGTAATGGTTTCAGGATTTAATTCCCAGTGAAGTTCCACAAATGAGGAGGAAGAGGCAGAGAGTGGGCTGTCCTAAGCAGAAAAGCCTCGATGAAGAACAAACAAGGAATGGGCTGCCCTGTCCCTATATATGTGTAGCTGCATCTCCACAGCTTGGCAGTCATCTTACTCCTGAGAGTAGCGGGCACAATCTTTTCTCCATTCCAGAGCAAACCCCCTGAAATACTCAGGGCAAATTCCTTAGGCCAGGAATTCATGGCTCATTCCTTGTTTTAAATTCATGGCCCATCCCTTGTTTATTCTTCCTCAGCTAAAAGTACGACCAGTTGCTGTCTCATGAGAAAGCCACAGCCTGGAGCGAGACACTACATAGGGGAGGGAGGGTGTGGGCAGGTTCTCCCCAAACACATGTGTCAGAGACCAGCAATTTAGCTTTATGAAAACTTTTTTTTGGGGGGGAGGGCAAGCCCTTCTACCCTAATTTGTGGGAAGGTTGGGACAAAAATTTTGAAAAGCTTAGGACTAAAGAGTTAAAATTTGGAAGGTTTTACAGGATCATCAGCCTGGACTCTGCATTGTACAACTCTCATTGCCTCTACGGCAGCATGCCGAGAAGTAGCTAGTGGGACTATAGAAAGGAATTTCAAGGCTTGCAGTGAGTACGCAGAATGCAGGCGTGGCTATATATATATTCCCATACAATGATCTCAGGAGGTCATGTTTTCCAAAGAGCTCAGCACACTGTCAGGCATTAGGCAGAATTTTGAGAGCACTCATCTCCCAGAAACTCCTATTGATACGAATGAGAACTTCTGGGTGCCGAGAATATTTTAAAATCTGTTCACCTTAATCAAGTGCCTTCATGGGAGCTAAGCTCTTTGGAAAATCTGGCCCAGAAAGTATCAACCTCATTAATACAATGTAATGTGTTCAACTCATAGTCACACTTTATCCCAGATCTGTCCCCAGTATCATAACATCTGAACTCCTCATTGTCTTTAATTAGTTTATCCCCACGACATCCCTACGAAGAAAGGCTGTGCTACTGTTCCCACTGTAGGGACGGAGAACGGAGACTAAGCATTTTGAAAACACTTAAGAGGCTTAGGTGCTTAGCAGCCTAAATCTCACTGAAAGTCAATGGGACTGAGGCAGCAGTCACTTATGAAAATGGGATTTTTGGGCTTTGAAAATGTTATCCCCTAAGGGCATGTCTAAACTGGGGGGGGGGGGGGGGGACA